CACACGTAACACCTCTTCTGAGCCTTTTTCTTGAAAGCAGTAGCAGGCAGTTTTACCAGGAAGTGATCACCATGCTTCAAACGAGAAGGAAGTTTTTGAAAATTTGGTGGGTGGTCTATTGCAGTTGTTGTTCCTTGGTACTTTAATACTATTTGTCAGATGACAGACAAACAGAATTCGCAGTATGGTGGTTTGTTTCTGGTCCTCATCTTAAACATATTATAAGCATTCAGCATGGAAATGTCAAGAAGATGGAAAAAGAGTTTTATGTACCACTTATAACTCTTGCGAACACAATCAGCAAACCCAATCTGCATGTCACATTTGTTCACTGAATGCATATTGAAGGTGTAATCAATCACAGCTGCAGGTTTTAGAATGGGTTCATTGCTCTCTCTATGCTGCCTGCCAGTGTCTGCCATTTCATTAGGGTGAACTGATGACAATAGTGTGACATCTCGTTTGTCATGCCACCGAAATGCCATGATGTCATTGGCAGCAAACGCCTGCACCTCACCTCTACGTGTGCCAGCGTCAAACCTGGGCATATGTTTCTGATTTGCACACACTGTGCCACACACATCTGTCATGTTCACTCGCAAAAAATCACTGAGTAAGGGGTTTGTGTACCAGTTATCTGTATACAATATATGCCCCTTACCTATCATTGTTCTAACCACATCACCAGAGATGCCCAATAACTTCCTGGTATTTTGCAATGTATAACTTCCAGTGTACACAATAACATCCAATACAAGACCACTGTAACAATCACAAAGCACAAACAACTTTATACCAAAGTGTTTCTTCTTGCTTGGTATGTACTGCTTGAAAGAGAGTCTGCCTTTGAACAGAATCAGAGATTCGTCACTTACAAGCTTCCTGAAGGGATAAAAATACATATTGAATTTCTCTTTCAGATACACAAACACATGCCTAATCTTATATAACCTGTTGTTTCTGTCAGGCCTGGTTTTGTCTGAGAAGTGAAGCATACATAACATTAGCACAAATCGATTCACTGGCATTATATCACTGAAACCTGGGGTTGCAACCAGGCGGTCTGTTGACCAGTATGATTTCACACTGTGCTTATACACATGTGGCACAGCATTGTATTGTGGCAAAGAAAAGATACATCTCAGCCACAGTTGTCTCCTTTCACTGGTGTAGACGTGATTTTGGTGAAAGTATTGTGTTTGCCATGGTGTACTCGTAGTATGTGTTGCTTTCCATGACAATACTTTCCATCAGGGGTTCGTCAAAGAATAACTCGAAACATTCCAGTTCACTGGCATTGTTCCCAAGTGTACAGGATGGCCGTATTCCACTTTGGCTGTCATCAAACTGGTGGGGATCTGGAACAAAATTGACAGCTTCCTGCCAATCCCAGGTGTGGTCTGCTGGTGGGTACTGGACAATGACAGATGGTTGTGGAGGTTGTGATTGTGGGGGTTGTGGTTGTGGAGGTTGTGGTTGTGGAGGCTGGTGTGGTGGGTGGGTGGGGGATGGTGGCCTTTGTTGTAGATCAGCTGAGGCAGCGGCGTGGGTGGCAGCATGGGCCACTGCTGGTGCCTCACGTCCGGCACTACCACCACCATGCACATTTTCCATCCCAAATGCAACAGTATCATCGTCACTTTCACTGTCAGTTCCTGTTATACAGCCACGGGATGTACTCCTAGATGTACTCCTTCCCCTTGGAATAGCATATGGCACACTACCAGAGTGCATATATCGTCGTATATACTGATGCTTCACTGGGAAATACTGCACTTCACTATCACTACTGGAACTAGTTTGAAGAGCTTGTAGTTCATAAACACTATCACTATCATTACAAATGCTCACATCTGAGTCTGGGATTTGGGAAAATAGGCATTTCCTCTTTGATTCTGATACAACTGAACGTGAACAAGACGGCCCAGCACCAGAGGTGGAAGGCTGAGGGTCATCTGGGTTTTCCTCACTATTTCCGATATTAGGGTCATTAGTTTCGGTCAAAACCTCCCCAAAACCTTGAAACTCATCTTCACTGGCACTTCCATCTGTATTAGAACTGTAACTGGGGAACAAAAGTGTCACAATTTGCCGAGGAGTGAGGAACTTCTTACCACGAGGCATGGTGGACATTGTTTACTAAGATGGCGTTCCCACAATGCACCACTGGGTCCCAGATTTTTTTTCTACCACGCACACCCACCACACAGACCCATTCTCTCACATCTACGCCTTCCAGCCTTTTGCCGCGATATTTGACGGCGCTAGAATTTATGCGTACTAGTACGTCAAGAACCCCTGCGCGTAAGCCGTACTAGTATGGCCGAAACCCTGAAAGGGTTAAATGTCAACAAAGAAAGGGAGGTGGCAATTTCATGCATTGGAAAGGGAGGTGAACCATCTTTTAGGAGTGAAGAAGAGCAAGATGTGAGTGTGGGGGAGGTGCGTGAGGCATTACGTAGAATGAAAATGGGTAAAGCAACTGGAACTGATGGGATCATGACAGAAATGTTAAAAGCAGGGGGGCATATAGTGTTAGAGTGGTTGGTATTTTTGTTTAATAAATATATGAACGAGGGGAAGGTACCTAGGGATTGGCAGAGAGCATGTATAGTTTCTTTATATAAAGGAAAGGGGGACAAAAGAGATTGTAAAAATTGTAGAGGAATTAGTTTACTGAGTACTATACCAGGAAAAGTGTACGGTAGGGTTATTATTGAAAGAATTAGAGGTAAGTCAGGATGTAGGACTGCAGATGAGCAAGGAGATTTTAGAGTGGGTAGGGGCTGTGTAGATCAAGTGTTTACATTGAAGCATATATGTGAACAGTATTTAGATAAAGGTAGGGAAGTTTTCATTACATTTATGGATTTAGAAAAGGCATATGATAGGGTAGATAGGGAAGCAATGTGGCAGATGTTGCAAGTATATGGAATAGGTAATAAGTTACTAAATGCTATGAAGAGTTTTTATGAGGATAGTGAGGCTCAGGTTACTGTGTGTAGAAGAGAGGGAGACTACTTCCCAGTAAAACTAGGTCTTAGACAGGGATGTGTAATGTCACCATGGTTGTTTAATATATTTATAGATGGAGTTGTAAAAGAAGTAAATGCTAGGGTGTTTGGGAGAGGAGTGGGATTAAATTATGGGGAATCAAATACAAAATGGGAATTGACACAGTTACTTTTTGCTGATGATACTGTGCTTATGGGAGATTATAAAAAAAATTGCAAAGGTTAGTGGAGGAGTTTGGGAGTGTGCGTAAAGGTAGAAAGTTGAAAGTGAACATAGAAAAGAGTAAGGTGATGAGGGTATCAAATGATTTAGATAAAGAAAAATTGGATATCAAATTGGAGAGGAGGAGTATGGAAGAAGTGAATGCTTTCAGATATTTGGGAGTTGACATATCAGCAGATGGAATAATAAAGGATGAGGTTAATCATAGAATTGATGAAGGAAAAAAAGGTGAGTGGTGCGTTGAGGTATATGTGGAGACAAAAAAACGTTATCTATGGAGGCAAAGAAGGGAATGTATGGAAGTATAGTGGTACCAACACTCTTATATGGGTGTGAAGCTTGGGTTGTAAATGCTGCAGCAAGGAGATGGTTGGAAGCAGTGATGTCCTGTCTAAGGGCAATGTGTGGTGTAAATACTATTATGCAGAAAATTCGGAGTGTGGAAAGTAGGAGAAGGTGTGGAGCTAATAAAAGTATTAGTCAGAGTGCTGAAAAGGTTGGAGGGAGGAGGTAAAGGAGGTTTTGTGGGCGAGGGGCTTGGACTTCCAGCAAGCGTGCATGAGCGTGTTAGATAGAAGTGAGTGGAGATGAATGGTATTTGGGACCTGACGATCTGTTGGAGTGTGAGCAGGGTAATATTTAGTGAAGGGATTCCGGAAAACTGGTTATTTTTATATAGCTGGTCTTGAGTCCCAGAAATGGGAAGTACAATGCCTGCACTTTAAAGGAGGGGTTTGGGATATTGGCAGTTTGGAGGGATATGTTGTGTATCTTTATACGTATATGCTTCTAAACTGTTGTATTCTGAGCACCTCTGCAAAAACAGTGATTATGTGTGAATGAGGTGAAAGTGTTGAATGATGATTAAAGTATTTTCTTTTTGGGGATTTTCTTTCTTTTTGGGTCACCCTGCCTCAGTGGGAGACAGGCGACTTGTTAAAAAAAAAAAATATGTTTATGGTATTATATTGAGAAAACATTTGTGATGATTGATGAGGTCCCTTGTGGACGAAACTTCTTCATAATAAAATGTCACAAGCTGCATGTTGTGTCTTATTAACAAACAGGAGTATGCATAATGTATAATGCAACACTGCACAATAGAAGCATTATTTATATAATAGCAATCATAGTGGGAGCATAACCTATAATGTACTATTCCACAGTAGGAGCATAATCCATAATTTATTTAACAGTATAATGTATTATTAACAGCATAATGTATAATGTTATTTGGTTCATAATGGGAGTATAATCTGTAATGTATTATTTCATAGTGGGAGCATAATCTATAATGTTATATTTCTTAGTGGGAGCATAATTTATGAAGTATTTTAACTATCTGGGAGCAAGGGGCTTGTAACCCCTTCTCCTGTATACATAACTAAAGTTAAGAAGAGAAACTTTTGTTTTTCTTTTTGGGCCACCCTCCCTCAGTGGGTTATGGCCAGTTTGTTGAAAGAAAAAGATTTTGTCTATTTGTAGCCACAGTCACAGCCAGATGTTGTGCCCTATATTTGTATTTTTACTTCCTGTTTTTCTAAGAATGCAAGTTATTCTTAGATGAGCAGTAAGAACACACACACACTATGAACAAGACAAAAAAATGTTCTTGAATAGATTATCATACTGACAATTATTTTCTTCAAGCCTAAGACAATAAATTAAAACACCTGCCATCAATGCATTAAAAAATTAGAATGACTAGTATATTTAAATAAGATATTTGTCTTTTTTACCACTGGCTATTTAAAAACAAGATATTTGGCTTGTATTTGTTATTTTATTAATACCCGCTCTTTCTTGTTTCTCGTACAAACACAGGGCATAAAAAACATATCTTCCTTGTAAGGCATGCAAAATAAATATATAGCATTGTTTTTATATCAACATAGTTACTCTGTCTACTGTCTTATGAAGTTCAGAGTTTATTTACGGTGCTTCCGCCTCGCCCCGTGAGATTTGGAGGAATCCGAGGGAATGTAAAGCTTTCCACCTTGAAGCTCTGGGTTACTGTTGACAGTGGAAAGTGCTTCTAGATGAGCCATGAAATCCACCACCTGTGAGTCCAGCTCGGCTATTCTCTGTTGGGTAACATATTACGGTGTTACACAATAAAAGGTCTATGGCACTTTAAGCTTATTGCAAGATACATAAGTTCCAACTTGATAACCTTTCAATACATACAGTGATAATTTTTTTTATTACATATAAACTCCTCACCTTAAGCTGTCCATTGCATACTTATTTGTCACAGTGATCAACATCCATTAAGTGGTAGTACAGATCTCCCTGAACATTCCCGTTTTCAACTTTCGCGGGCTTCACACATTCACGAATTCTCAACCGCCAAATCATATTTATGTTGAGGACTTTGAAGTTGATGAACGACACTGATAGAGGCATAATTCCCTACAAAACTTTGTAGATATGAAGAAACAGTCTCAGTTGCCCATCACAATGTTCTTCACAAGGAAGCTTGCCACTACAGTCCCCATCCCTTTACCCAAGGTCCTATCTATGCTAAAACCTTGGGTAGTTTCAAATTTAGGTTGGATAAATACACGAGTGAGAGGGGTTGGATTTGAGTGGGATTTGGACGTGAGTAAATAGAATTATCAAAGCTTATTGCTTGGGTAGCGTTTATTCTATTAGTGGGGTGGTTATGTGAAGGACCTGCCAAGTATAGGCCAACAGGCCTACTGCAGTGTTCCTCCTTTCTTATATTCTTAGGTTGATGAGTGGAACAGTCTGTCTAGTATGGTTATAAGAACATATTAACATAAGAAAGGAGGAACACTGCAGTAGGCATGACAGCCCATACTAAGCAGGTCATTCAAAATCCATCACACCAGCAGAATATTTTCCCAACTCAATTTTCAATGCTACCCAAGCAATAAGCTTTGATAATTCTATTAGAGAGAATGGATCAAAGTAGAATGACATGGAAAGCATATAAATCTATAGGGGAAGGAAAGAGGGGTAGGGGTCGTCCTCGAAAGGGTTGGAAAGAGGGGGTAAAGGAGGTTTTGTGGGCGAGGGGCTTGGACTTCCAGCAAGCGTGCATGAGCGTGTTAGATAGGAGTGAATGGAGACGAATGATACTTGGGACCTGACGATCTGTTGGAGTGTGAGCAGGGTAATATTTAGTGAAGGGATTCAGGGAAACCGGTTATTTTCATATAGTCGGACTTGAGTCCTGGGGGTGGGAGGTGCTGTGCCTGCGCTTTGGGGGAGGGGTTTGGGATATTGGCAGTTTGGAGGGATATGTTGTGTATCTTTATATGTGTATGCTTCTAGACTGTTGTATTCTGAGCACCTCTGCAAAAACAGTGATAATGTGCGAGTGTGGTGAAAGTGTTGAATGATGATGAAAGTATTTTCTTTTTGGGGATTTTCTTTCTTTTTTGGGTCACCCTGCCTCGGTGGGAGACGGCCGACTTATTGAAAAAAAAAAAAAAAAAAAAAAAAAAAAAATTCAGGGAAACCGGTTATTTTCATATAGTCGGACTTGAGTCCTGGAAATGGGAAGTACAATGCCTGCACTTTAAAGGAGGGGTTTGGGATATTGGCAGTTTGGAGGGATATGTTGTGTATCTTTATACGTATATGCTTCTAAACTGTTGTATTCTGAGCACCTCTGCAAAAGCAGTGATAATGTGTGAGTGTGGTGAAAGTGTTGAATGATGATGAAAGTATTTTCTTTTTGGGGATTTTCTTTCTCTTTTGGGTCACCCTGCCTCGGTGGGAGACGGCCGACTTGTTGAAAAAAAAAAAAAAATTCTATTTACTCACATGCAAATCCCATTCAAATCCAACCCCTCTCACTCATGTATTTATCCAACCTAAATTTGAAACTACCCAAGAGTTGAGCTTCGATAGGACCTTGGGTAGCTTTAACCTGGAGTTTACCTGGAGAGAGTTCCGGGGGTCAACGCCCCCGCGGCCCCCTCTATGACCAGGCCTCATGGTGGATCAGTCTGATCATCCAGGCTGTTACTACTGGTTGCACACAATCCAACGTACGAGCCACAGCCTGGCTGGTCAGGTACCGACTTTAGGTGCTTGTCCAGTGCCTGCTTGAAGACAGCCAGGGGTCTACTGGTAATCCCCCTTATGTATGCTGGGAGGCAGTTGAACAGTCTCGGGCCCCTGACACTTATTGTGTTGTCTCTTAATGTGCTAGTGATACCCCTGGTTTTCATTGGGGGGATGTTGCATCATCTGCCGAGTCTTTTGCATTCGTAGTGACCGATTTTCGTGTGCAAGTTCGGTATTAGTCCCTCTAGGATTTTCCAGGTGTATATAATCATGTATCTCTCCCACCTGCGTTCCAGGAAGCACAGGTTCAGGAACTTCAAGTGCTCCCAGTAATTGAGGTGTTTTATCTCCGTTATGCGTGCCGTGAAGGTTCTCTGTACATTTTCTAGGTCAGCAATTTCACCTGCCTTGAAAGGTGCTGTTAGTGTGCAGCAATGTTCCAGCCTAGATAGAACAAGCGACCTGAAGAGTGTTATCATGGGCTTGGCATCCCTAGTTTTGAAGGTTCTCATTATCCATCCTGTCATTTTTCTAGCAGATGCGATTGATACAATGTTATGGTCCTTGAAGGTGAGATCCTCCGACATGATCACTCCCAGGTCTTTGACATTGGTTTTTCGCTCTATTTTGTGGCTGGAATTTATTTTGTACTCTGATGAAGTTTTAATTTCCTCATGTTTACCATATCGGAGTAATTGAAATTTCTCATCGTTGAACTTCATATTGTTTTCTGCAGCCCATTGAAAGATTTGGTTGATGTCCACCTGGAGCCTTGCAGTGTCTGCAATGGAAAACACTGTCATGCAGATTTGGGTGTCATCTGCAAAGGAAGACACAGTGCTGTGGCTGACATCCTTGTCTATGTCAGATATGAGGATGAGAATTGGACAAATATATGAGTGGGAGGAGCATGTATGTATATACAATACATATATTTTATGATGTTCTCATGTGTTTTATGAATGTTCATGGTTCAACAGGTTAAGGAAGCAGTATTAGATTTCCCTGCAATATATTGGGGCACCAAACATTCGCGATTTTTCAACATTCGCGAGGCTCTTGATCCCCTAAGCCTCGGGAATGTTGAGGGAGGCCTGTATGCAATATTCATAGCACCCTCAAATTTGCTGTGAGTAGCAAATTTTGGTCCAGACATGAGAGAATGTGTCTGAGCAGTTGGTGTGTATGGTATTAAAAAGGAATCCTGACCTATGCAGTGCATGATGGAACAGCAAACCTGTGACCCTGTGTTTGGGTTAAAATACTTTGGGGTGGATTTTAGGGTGGTTTCCATGGGTTTACTGGCTGTTTCTTCATAGCAATAGATGGAATGGAAGACATGCTAATGAAGTATGGTTGATTTAGGATCAGAAGGGGCCTGAAACATGTGTCAAAATGCTGGAAGTTGCAGTATTGGTGCATTTTAGGCCTACTTCAATTATTGGGACATGTTTAAGCATTCTTGGTTATGGTTTATTAGCAGAGAAAAAGGAAAAAACACTGATATTCTTCAGTGACGACAGATTCAAAATGGAGGGCAAGTGTTATATAAGAGAAACCTGGGTGCATTATTAGTGAACAGAGGGAAGGTTCCTTTAGTGGATGGAAGGACTACAACAGAGTTTGTTTTTAAACTGGAATTTACTGAAAATAGTGTAAAATTTGCCAAATTAACAGGGTAGTTCTGACAGATGAATGAGCAGTTTGATGCACTCAATGGATAGTATGGAAGTCATACTAGCCAGAAACTAGGTCAGTTTGAATACTGAAAATAGGCCTCAAATTGTGCAAAATCATTATCATAATGTGTTCCCAATTGCCTATGGATACATTATATTTTCTTGACTTAGTAGATCAGTTAAACTTTGCTCTTACCTTATCTTTCTGATCCAGTAATGTCTGCAGACTAACAACTTTGGAGACCAATTCCTGCTTACCCTGGCGCATTGACAAGTTTAATTGCTGTTCTGTCTCCAGGTCTTTTGAAAGCTGTATATGAGACATTAATATAATAATCAAGCAAATTTCATACAAGTGAATTTAAAGAAACATAATTTGAAAAGTCTGATTATAAAAATCTAAAATTTAAATGTACATAAGAAAAGAAAGCACGTACAACAACATTTCATATTCAGAATTCTGCAAAATTCAGAGTAAAAATTATGAATTCAGAAGGATACAATTTAGAATTTTGTAAAAGCAAAAATGCAAATCTGTAATTACAACTGGTTCACCAAGTAATATACAGCAAGGGACAAATGTGAATTGTCAGCTAGCCTCTTGCTTCCATCCAAATACAGTGGACCCCCGCTTAATGATCACCTCCCAATGCGACCAACTATGTAAGTGTATTTATGTAAGTGCGTTTGTATGTGTATATTTGGGGGTCTGAAATGGACTAATCTACTTCACAATATTCCTTATGGGAACAAATTCGGTCAGTACTGGCACCTGAACATACTTCTGGAATAAAAAAATATTGTTAACTGGGGGTCCACTGTAACCTGTATTATTCTTTCAATATGAAAGGGCTTAAATTTAATTGGGCATTAAGCAAGAACTTTAAAACAATTTTGAGAAACAATGTCCTATGAAAACTCATTATCATAGGATTTAGGCAGTACTGTAATGTTGCTTGTTTTTAGGTGTCTAAGATTATTCAACAAATAAAATATACGCATATCCTTTATCCCTATGAAAAGAATGCTTCTCTTAAGTTATCATTCGCATTGCTATCTTTTTTGTGGGTGCAAAACATGGGTTGTAAATGCTGCAGCAAGGAGAAGACTGGGGGCAGTGATGTCATATCTAAGGGCAATGTGTGGTGTAAATATTATGCAGAGAATTCGTAGTGTGGAAATTAGGTGTGGAGTTACTAGAAGTATTAGCCAGAGGACTGAAGAGGGGTTATTGAGGTGGTTTGGTCATTTAGAGAGACCGGAACAAAGTAGAATGACTTAGAGAGCGTTTAAATCTGTAGGGTAAGGAAGGCAGGGTAGGGGTCATCCTAGGAAAGGATGGAGGGGGGGGGGGAAAGGGCAGTTTTGTGGGCGAGGGGCTTGGACTTCCAGCAAGCGTGCATGAGTGTGTTAGATAGGAATGAATAGAGATGAATGGTTTTTGGGACCTGACAAGCTCTTGTGAGCAGGGCAACATTTTGTGAAGGGATTCGGAGAAACCAGTTAGCCAGACTTGAGTCCTGGAAGTGGGAAGTACAATGCCTGCACTTTAAAGGAGGGGTTTGGGATATTGGCTGTTTGGAGTGACATCTAAACTGTCATATCTGAGAGCCTCTGCAAAGACAGTGATTTTGTATGAATGATGGTGAGAGTGTTGAATGATGCTGAAAGCTTTTTCTTTCTATTTGGGTCACCCTACCTTGGTGGGAAACGGCTGACGTGTTAAAAAACAAATGATTAACAAATAAAGGACACATCTGATTTTCAGGTTTTTTAAAAATTTTAAGGAATTACAAAAGTAAAAATACATTTTATAGAGAATAACTATAGTTTTACATACTGAAAACGAGAAATAAATATAAAGCACTAATGAAATGGATAAATGAACATTTAAATAACTTTTACCTTTACTGAAGACTCTTGCTGGCACATGAAAGACAGCAAAGAGGGGAGGGGGAGGAGAGGTTATCTCTTACCATCACTATCACAATCACTTCCACCCTCAACCACCATTACTACCACTCTCCACCACTCACTGTGTGCCATATTAAAATAATTGGGGATGCCTGGGTACCACATGCTCTTTTTTCCTATTAAAAAACAAAGATTTTTTTTCTCAAAAAATTTGGGACACTACGGGAGAGAACGTATATATACGTTTGGACCGTTTACGGGTTAATACATAACTCAATGGTCTATGGTTGGTTTAAGAACTTTTATTTTCTGCATTTGCTAGGCCATTCTGTACACACATTGAACCAAAATTTCACTTACCATTCACTAAATCAAGTTATTTTGGGAAGCTACTTGAATTTAGAATTTTTTTCTACCAAACAGGTGGAAAAGTATGAATTCTATAATCTGTTAATTTCTCGACATACATCATTCCAAATAAGAAAAATACAGTGGACCCTCGCTTTACGAACACCTCCCAATGCGACCAATTATGTAAGTGTATTTATGTAAGTGCGTTTGTACGTGTATGTTTGGGGGTCTGAAATGGACTAATCTAATTCACAATATTCCTTATGGGAACAAATTCGTTCAGTACTGGCACCTGAACATACTTCTGGAATGAAATAATATCGTAAACCGGGGGTCCACTGTATTGCTGTACATACAAATTGTGAATGCAACTAACAAAACTTAAATCTTAAAACTAGAGAGATTCTATATAAAGAATTTAATAGCTTTTATTACAAAATCAGTCAATAGTTGAACATTTTTTTTTTAACACGTTGGCTGTTTCCCATCAAGGCAGGGTGACCCAAAAAGAAAAAAATACTGAAAAAGAAAGAAAAAAAAATTGAATCATCATTCAATACTCTCACCATCACTCATACATAATCACCATCTTTGCAGAGGCGCTCAGATACGACAGCTTAGACGTCCTTCCGAATTGCCAATATACCAAACCCCTCCAATAAAGTGCAGGCATTGTACTTCCCATTTCCAGGACTCAAGTCTGGCTAACCGGTTTCCCTGAACCCTTTCAAAAAATATTACCCTGCTCACACTCCAACAGCTCGTCAGGTCCCAAAAGCCATTTGTCTCTATTCACGCCTATCTAACACGCACATGCACGCTTGATGGAAGTCCAAGCCCCTTGCTCACAAAACTGCCTTTACCCCCTCCTTCCAGCCTTTCCTAGGATGACCCCTACCCCTCCTTCCTTCTGCTACAGATTTATAAGCTCTCCAAGTCATTCTACATGTCTCCTTCAACATTTGCAAGGGTTAGGGGATCAAGTGCCTCGTGAATGTTGAAAAATCGCGAATGTTTGGCGCCCCAATACAGTATATTGTAGGGAAATATAATACAATACTGCTTCCTTAATTTTTTGAACCATGAACAATCATAAAATACACGAAAACGTTGTAGAATATTGTACTAAATACAGTGGAACCTCGGGTTATGAATTTAATCAGTTCCGTGGACTTGTTCGTATGCTGGGTCAACTTCTTCATTTAAATTAACTGAAATGCAATTAATTCGTTCCAGCTGAATTCCTGCTCTCAGGAGCATGACATCAACTCTACAGCTCATTTATCTGTCACAATTCATCTAATATGACATAATAAACAAATATAAATAACATGGAAACCTGATATAGTCTAGAATTAATAAAATATGTCATTACATGGAAGGCGGAGGAGGAGGGATGTGGTCGGGAGTGGTCGCGCACTCTCGCTAATGAAAACGTCAGAGGTGTTTATAAGAGAAAATGGAGTTTGTGAGGCTAACTAAATTAGATCTGGTGTACATAAGGCATTTACATACCTTGGAGAAGAAATGCAGAGTGGCATATCCTGTCAGGAGTTCACACTTTTCTTAACCCTTTCAGGGTTTCAGCCATACTAGTACGGCTTACGCACCAGGGTTTTTGACATACTAGTACGCCTAAATTCTAGCGCCCTCAAATCTAGTGAGAGAACGCTAGTAGGCCTACATATGAAAGAATGGGTCTATGTGGTCAGTGTGCGCAGTATAAAAAAAATCCTGCAGCACACAGTGCGTAATGAGAAAAAAAAACTTTGACCGTGTTTTTGGATTAAAACAGAGACTTTACACTGTATTTTCGTATGGTATTTATTGTTGTATTCTAGTTTTCTTGGTCTCATTCCAGAGAAAGGAAGACATATTACAGAAATTGAGATGATTTTGACTGATTTTACAATGAAAAGTACCTTGAAATTGAGCTCAAAGTAGCAGAAATGTTAAATTTTTACCAAAGTTCAAAAGTAAATAACTCATACCAAGCGTCTAATACATGTCAACTGGTGAGTCTAATATTCTTTCACAAGTGTGCCAATATTATTTATATAATGTTTTACACTAATGCAGTAGTCTGCATAACAGTATATATTCTATTTTTTGTGAGAATAAAAATTCAAAGTGGAAAGCAAAAGAATGTAAGAGGGGCATTGGGACGTGACTAATGAACAGAGGAAATGTCATTTAGTGCCGAATGTCTTTCTTGTTTATTCTGGACCCTATTTGGAAAATTTGGCATCTTTTGAAATTTTTTTGTGAAATTGGCAAAATGCTAATTCTGAGCACTGTATTTGGATATTGAAATCGGTAACTGGGTGGTTTCTTGCACTCATTCGATAGAAAAAATGGAGTTCTAGCAAAATAGTTATGATTTTTGTAGAATAGTACAGTGGAATTGGCCGAAAATAGGGCTCAAAGTGGGCAAAATCGCCGATGCGTAAACATCGTCGAGACCGCTAGCTTCGCGAGAGCATAATTCCGTAAGTTTTCTATCAAATTTCATACTTTTGGTGTCATTATGATCGGGAAAAGATTCTCTATCTTTTCATGGGATTTTTTTTTTTTTTTTTTTTGAAATTTGGGCGACCCTGAGAACAAGTCTCTGAGAGGGCCTGTCGACCCTGAAAGGGTTAAGAACTGGCCCTCAAGGAAGGCTCCTTGATGATGGTGAGGGGCTCTTGATTTAGGGAATTGGATCTGTGCTCCAGTTCCCCAAATTAAGCCTGAATACCTTCCCTCCCAGGTGCTGTATAATCCTACGGGTTTAGCGCTTCCCCCTTGATTATAATAATAATCTTAAGAACTGTTATGTACAATTTTTATGTTTATCTCACTGCACTACGTATCTCCTGTGAGCTGTTTCTCCATCAACCAAGTCAACAGCAGCTTTTCCATCTTTTCAATGACAGAGGTCCACTACTTAGAAATTACTTTAACACCCTTTACTGGCACTACAGCCTTTATAGACTCCTGCTTTAGTATTGTACATATAGTAGAGGGGCTACGCTTGTACTCAACTCGCCAATTCCTCAACCC